TATCATTAGTGTAATTTTCATATTTTCTTTGTTTTTGTTTTTCAAGTTTTCATTGTTATAGAAAGTATACAAGCCTTTCTTATTTAACCACTCCAAAACCATAAATGGTCTAATGGCTCCTCCTCTGGTGGCTTCATGTTACAACTATTCAGACATTGAAGAGTTTTTGTTCAGGCCTGCTGATGGTTTCTGCTACTGTGACTCTCTGGCACAGTAATACACAGCAGTGTTTTCAGCCTGCACATTCTGTCCACTTAAAGTCACTGTCTTGCTGGAAGAGTCAGCGCTAATATTGAAGTTATTCTTTAGTGAATCTTTGTAGTATGTGGTATATTTATTGATTGATCATACTTTATTCATCCCGAGGGAAATTGGGTTAAGGCTGCCAGCCGTGCCAGCGCCATCTTACCCTTCCGACCATACATACATTACACAAACATCACATGGGGAAGACAGGTCAGAGGGGTATAACATGGAAAATGCACAACATGAGGAAAGATGAGTGATAAAATAACTCCCCCCAGACTGAGCTTCAACAGAGAGATCAGTTTGAGAACAGAAGAAAACACCTCTGCACATAACACATGAAAAAACTCTTAATACACCAAAGAAACACATGACAAGCAACAGGGATGGGTAAAGGGTGAGAGACAGCCAGTGTAGACAGTACATCCGGGCCTGCAGCATATGCGCTGGTCCCCTTGATCCACCGTCAGCATCGGAGGGGAATAAGCATCGAAGGCGTTTGGAGGGGGAGGGGGGATGAGTGTACATCTGCGTGTGTATATATATATATGTGCGTGTGTGTGTATGTGTCCAGAGTTCAGCTGAGACAGTGTCCTTCGCCCTGCCAGGCTAAGTAAACAGTCTTCCTGCCAACCCAGGTGGCCTTGCGTAGGATAGGAAGAACAGTCTAAACACAGACGTTATCAGGGTGTTTTTGTTCAGCTCCAGCCTTGAGACCACAGCTGGCGCCGAGTGGTAGCCGCATGAAGTGATGATGTGTTTACTTTAGTGCGAACAACTCATATGAATTTCAAATCTGTTCTAACAGTCCGACACTGGTCTCTCAATCTCCCGTTGGAGAGCCGCGAGCTTCTCCATGATGTTATCAACCTTGCGCTCCATGATGTTGTCATTCTTGTGCTCAAAGAGCAGATTCTGAGAACTCACGACCGCAGTGAGCTTCTCCAAGATATTATCCAATTTGCGCTCAGAGATCTTATTCTGAGTATTCACAGCAGCCGTGCGTTCTCCAAGATCTTATCTGTGCTGACTCAATGAGCCCATTTCGAGAAACTCACGCCTCTCCCCATCGTTCCAATCCCAGCGGGCAGCCTTGTGGGGGTTTGAACAGCCGGTTCCGCTTCCTTAATTCTTCGATAAGCCAGGGCCAAGCCAGCTCTGATCAGCAAAAACCCTGTTATCATGGTTCCGAATAGGTAGATATCTTCAGCGTCTTCGATCGACACTCCCGCCAGGCACACCACCCTCCAGTTCTGCCACTCGTCCATCGTGTGCAAGGAAAGTACCTCCAGGACACTCAGGCTCACCCGAGCCCAGACTTCTCATTGAGGAAAGGGTGTCAATTGCATTCAGGGACCAGTTGATCAAATCCATAATTCCTCTTTTAGGTTTTAGAGAACAGACTGTGAGAGAGTATTCCAGGGAAAAGTAATACAAAAAACACAAGACTAGACAAGGACACAAGAGGCTAAGCAGGGAAGCTAAGGGAGAGGAGGAGGAGGAGAGGAGAAAAGTGCGACCGCACAGCAGTGTCTTCAGGCTGCATATTTTGTCCATTTAAAGTCACTGCCTTGCTTGAAGTGTCTAAGTCAATGCTAAACTTGTTCTTTAATGAATCTTTGTAAAATGAATCTCCAGTATATTTCATTCCAATCCACTCCAGTCCTTTCCCTGCAGGCTGTCTAATCCAAGCTGTCCTCCAGCTGCCCAGAGAATAAGACACCTGACAGGTGATGGTCAGACGCTGACCTGGCTGCACAATCACAGAGGTTGGCTGTGTCATCTGCTCACACTTCACACCTGTGGAAAAAAACATGTTTTATGTAACAGCAACAGTCAGTATGCTGTGATCATTCTGTCAGTGTTTTTTTCCAGTCAGACTCACAGGATCCAGCAGCCAGCAGGAGCAGCAGAGCCACAGAGAACATTTTGGTACTCAAGATAATCTGATGAGAACTTTTCTTCTGCTTTAACTGACACCATGATTTCAAGTCTTTATAGTCGACTGTCAGGAAGTTTGCTTTACATATATATAGATGGATGCTGACAGATTACAAGATAAGATAAGATAAGATAAGATAACCTTTATTAGTCCCACACGTAGGAAATGTGTTATATTCGGCTATAAGAGAACACACTGCGGCAATCAGTATTTACAATTTTTTTTAACTAATTAAAATAACAATATTATTTAAAACACAAATATAAAGTTTGATGTGTTTTTCATTCAAAAATAATTTTACGAAAACAATCTCCCAGTGAAGCAGCTTTACTGAATCTTTGACTATGTTGATGACTTAAATGTAATCTCTGTAACTTATGTAAAAAAACGTTTTTCTCACTCCGGTGACACTGTCAGTCTCAGGCACAATAATAAAGAATAAAATCCTCTGCTATCAAGTTATCAAGACCATGAAAAAATATGTACATTGGTTGCATGCAATAAAGTTTATATATTCTGTGTTAAAACAGTACAATTTTGATAGTAAAAATAATTTTATATCTTTAGTACCTGAAAACTTTACATTTATCACACAGTGTTTATGATTACATTTAAACTTTTTTATATGAATGCCTTTAGTCACCTTATGTTAATGCACCATAATTATTTAATTTTGACAATTGGATATTCAGTTATATAAACTGCTTTTTAACATGGTTGCATATTAGTCTTATAAATACTTGCTGGTCAACCTGCTCTCAATGACTGTCAGTGATACTTGCATTTTGTAAGTCTTTAAAAGTTTACTAAAAATATCTAAAATGTTATAGTTCTTTAAACAAACATCTATATTTTCTCAATATTGCACAGTTACAAAACTAGACGTATCTCTTCTTCTGTAAATGTATATATTATATTTATATTATTAAAACATTATAATATAAATATATTGTATTTATATTAGCCTAGGTGGAAGTTAGCTTCTGACTGAATAAAAAAATAAATTATATTATTTACCATATTATTTAACCTGTTTTTTATACATTGCCAAGTCAGTTAAAATAGTCGTTGTTGTTTTTTAACTCGGCCTTCTGACAGCTACTAAAAAAATACAACAAAGACAACAACAATAAAAACACCCTCAGACAAAGTCTGATGTTTGCTTATTTAATAACAATCTGAGGTAAACACAGTGGCCACAAAGTATCTGTGCAGAGTTTTATGTTAAAGTGAAATACAATAAAGGAATATCTACTGACTTGATTTTTACATCAGTCATCATTCTTCTATCAATTTAACTCACATTGTAAAATCACTTGATTAATGTAATATCTTAAGTTCATCAGTGGTCTGAGGGCTCCTCCTCTGGTGGCTTCATGTTATAACTGTTTAGGCACTGAGGGGTTTTTGTTCAACTCTATGGATGTTTTGATGCTGCGGTTCTCTTCCACAGTAATACACAGCAGTGTCTTCAGTCTACACAATCTGTCCACTTGCAGTTAGTGCTTTGCTGGAAGAGTCTAAGTTGATGCGGAACTTATTCTTTACTGAATTTTTGCTGAATAAATCACCAGGATTATATTCAGATCCATACCAGTCCTTTCCCTGCAGGCAGCAATAAGTAATGATAAATAAGTGTATGTTTAAGAAAGATACTATTAAAGATTAATGCATGTGGTCTGAAAACTAAACAAGATGCTGAATGCAATTTATAGTAAATATTTGAAATAGATTATCAAATTGATGATTAATCCCAACAGATATTGTTAATTATTTTGAAGATTCTTGTGCCTTTGTTGTTTCTTCTTGTGTTAATGATGTTGACTTGCAGTTCATTACTATAAATGTGAACAGCAGGAAGTAAATTGTTCCTTTTGTGATGTGGTGAGTTTTTGTACAAAGATTCTTCCTTTTGTGTCACTGTGACTCTCGAGCACAATAATAAACAGAAGAATCCTCAGTTGTCAAGCTGTTCATCTGCAGATACACTTGTTTTCTGCTGTTGTCTCTGGAGATGGTAAACCGGCCTCTGACTGACTGAGAGTAGTAAGTGCTACCACCATCATATCGGATCCAAGCAATCCATTCTAGTCCTTTTCCAGCAGTTTGTCTGATCCAGTGAGCATAAATATCACCACCGAACCCTGAGTATGTACAGGTCAGTCTGTGGGAGTCTCCAGGCTGTTTAATCACTGGTTCAGACTGAGTCAATGTTTGACCCTCAGTACCTGCAGATAAAAACATAATTAGCCTTTGTATTTCAAGCATATCATTTGTACGGTGTACATTTTAGGACATCGTCAGGTATCAGACAAAAAATTGTCAGGTGTCAGTTGTCAAAAAAAAAATTGTCAGGTATCAGAAAAAAAATTGACAGGTGTCAGTTGTCAAAAAAAAAATTGTCAGGTATCAGAAAAAAAATTGTCAGGTATCAGAAAAAAAATTGTCAGGTGTCAGTTGTCAAAAAAAAAAGTCAGGTATCAGACAAAAGATTGTCAGGTGTCAGAAAAAAAGTTGTCAGGTGTCAGAAAAAAATTTGTCAGGTGTCAGAAAAAAAATTGTCAGGTGTCAGAAAAAAAGTTGTCAGGTGTCAGAAAAAAAATTGTCAGGTGTCAGAAAAAAAATTGTCAGGTGTCAGAAAAAAAGTTGTCAGGTGTCAGAAAAAAAATTGTCAGGTGTCAGAAAAAAAATTGTCAGGTGTCAGAACACAAGGTACCAGAGAGAAAATCTTCCTGCAGGTGGCGCTGTTGTCATGTCCCACCCGAATTGATTTCCAAATACGTCATCAACGTGTGACCGTGGGAGAGCGTAAGGTCATTGACCTCACCGGAGTTTTACCGTGGTTCAGGCTCCTAACGACACAAGGTAAATTTAACTTTTTCTCCCTTTTGTTCATATTTTTGCCACAGTTGTGTTATATTAAGTTGCAGTTATGTTGTGAAAGTTACATATCAGAGACGGAAAGCCAGTTTTGTACGAAACCAAATCAGTACTATTTTTGTCTGGCTAATTCATTCTAGCTAGCGACAGTGGTGAAACGTGATTCAAATTTAAACTGTTCAGTAATTGTTTTGTATACATTTCAGCAAATGGACAAGCTGAAAGCTCACGAGCAGCCTGCATCCTTTCTGTCGCTCTTTTTCTTTATTTCTCTTCTATATTGCTACTGTCGGGATATGTTTTGATCCCGATATGTTTTTTTCTGTTGTTGTTTTTAGACTTTGCTGCAATATGTCATCTGACGATGATGAAAGGAGTATCCGACTCTGGCTGGTTCCCATGACTGTACCAAAAATACAGTCATGTACAACTTATTTATTAACTACTGTTCACCTCTTTCATATCAAAGAAGTGTATTTTTTGCTACACATGTTTTATTTGTGGGCACTGAATAGACGATGCTTTTAGTGTAATTGCCACATAAAAAGATTTAGTACTTTACTGGTTAATTACTTATGTTCAGTGTAAGACGTGGGTGATCAATTAGACTGTTGTTGTTACACTTAACCTTTCAAGATATGATGATAATAACATTGTTCAACAAAGGCTTAAAACAAAAGGAAATCAGCTGTGCACTGAATTCATATGGGCATAAAATAAGGTAAGTCTGCATTTCAACAGTTTCCGTGACAACTCTCTAAAATGACAAAACATGCAGTTTGCATTTAATATAATGTAAGTCTGTGTTGTCTTTTAACAGTGAGAGGCATCTGAGACGAGTTTTAAAACTTCTAGGGTTGAAGCGAAGATGCCCCCAACGACCTTTTACTGAAATCCACAAAGCTGTGGAGGTAAGCGTTAAAACATCAGTGCAAAAAATATATATTTTCCTGAAGTCTGTGTCATGAGCTATTGTAGAAACAATAAATGGTATTTTCTGTAGTGATTTAAAAAAAAAAAACATTCAATTGTCTGTTTGTTTGTTTTTTAGAGTGAGATGAAACAGTGGTCTCCTGAACAAGGAATCAGGGCAATGGTAAAGCGGGTAAGGGATGTCAGAGGAGTGCGGCCTTGTTACAGGTTGGTTAAATAGTGTGTATATAATCAAGTATTCTCTTGTTTTACTGTTGAGCTCAGAGTAAAATCTATTGTTACTGTAGAGACGATGTTGCTAATATAATGAGGTATATGGATGCAAGTGGTCTTCAGAGGAGATCTCCTGGAAAGAAGAAAATTCCCCGTCGGAATTACATCAGCCATGGTCCAAATGACACATGGCACATTGATGGTATTTATTTTATCTTTTCAATTAACCTTCCAAACATGTTTTGATGGTACTTCTGTTGAAACAAATTGTAATTATTATTTGTTGTTTCATATAGGCAATGATAAACTGAAGTTCTTTGGAATGTGGATACATTTGGGGATTGATGGGTAGGTTTGAATATGGCATTCGCTACTTAATTTATTATATTCAGTGATAGTACAAAGTTGCTTCAAGATAAGGATGTGCGGTAAACTGAGGTGTTATCTCTCCTGAGTAGTCTAGGGCAGGGATGGGCAAGTCCAGGCCTCGAGGGCCGGTGTCCTGCAGGTTTTAGATGTGTCCTTGATCCACAGCTGATTCAAATGGCTAAATTACCCTCACAACATGTTTTGTAGTTCTCCAGAGGCCTGGTAATGAACTAATCATTTTATTCAAGTGTGTTTACCCAGGGTGATATCTAAAACATGCAGGACACTGGCCCTCGAGGTCTGGATTTGGCCAAGCCTGGTCTAAGGGACCAAGATAAAGTATGAATAGTGAAGGAGGATTCAAGATGGCGGTTTTTAAAAGGCTTATTTCCTGCTAGTCTTAAAGTTCCATTTCAGACTGGCAGTTAATTTCAGGGAGGGCCAAGACCAACACAACAAACAAAACATCCCTGATATAAAGTAAACAGAATTTAACTCCAAAGAAAATAAAATGTACAATTTACGATAACCTACCTAACCAACACATAAACAGGAGAATACAAGGGATTACAAAACAAAAGGCAGCTCTCCCCTCGCGTCAGTCTGAACACAGTCAAGAGTCACATTCAATTCCAAAGGCATGTAAGCCTACACAACTATGGCAGTCAAAATGGCCGGAGGAACCAGATACAACGCCTAGACATAATACAATGGAAAACCAGCATACTCTTGGGGAATGTAACAAAAACCAAACATAGTGCCAAAACATGATTAAATCATATGTACAAGTGGCCACTTTTCTGTTTCTTTCTTTTCAGATTTTCCAGGAAGGTTCTATGGCTAAAGGTGGGCACATCCAACCGCAAGCAAAACTTTGTGGCCAGATACTTCTTTGAGGCTGTTCAAGAACAGGGTGGTATGCAATATACTAAAAAATGGGGGGTTAAAAAAGATTACATTTTGTTAATAAATTTATTTTTTCATCATTCACTAATTATCTTCAGTTTGTGTCTTTAGGCTGTCCTCAAATGATTCGGGGGGACAGAGGAAAGGAGAACCTTGTTGTGGGTCAAATGCAGATGGCATTTCACATGCGAGATCTTGGGAATCAGGCATGGAGGTGCTTCAGAATGGGGACATCAGTGCACAACCAGGTATGTCTTTAAGCTGGTAAATGACTATTTCTAAAGTAACAACCTGACAACAAAACTGATAATGTCATGTTTCTGTTGTTTAGAGAGCTGAATGTTTCAACAGTATTTTAAAGCAGACATGGATTAAGAAATGGCTGACAACATTTGAGGTAAAGCAAATCTTTCACCTGTAAAACCTATTAACAAAGACTAGCCATCCAAATTTCGTTAAACATACGATGGATTAGTTTATCTGAAAACACAAGGCCAGAATCTGTGTTTATGTACATCTGTACCTTTTCACTAATGAAATTCTCACCTTCACAACTTATGTCTTTTTCAAAACAACATGCGTAGGCCATGATGGAGTCTGGGATCCTTGAACTGGACAATCCTGTGCACATGTAAGTCAATATTTTTAGACATGAAAAATAATCAAGCAGCAGTATGAAAGTATGTGGTCTAGGAATGCCTTTGTTTTTTGAGTACTGATTAAAATTTAGCTTTTACTTATTCTACCTCAAAGAAGCAGATGAACATATTAATTTTTTAATTCTCCTTTTTCATAGCAACTGCTTGCAGTACTCACACTTGCCACTGCTTCAAAGAGACTTAAAAACGGAGCAAACAGTTTGGAACACCCATGACATCCGCAAGCAACGCAATGCACCTGGTCCATTTGGGAAACCCGACCTTCTGTTTACCTCACCACCTCCTGATATGTCATTTGAAAGCCTGTGGGGTTTTATTTTTTTGTTTGTTTTTTAACTTTCATTAGTTTACTTTTACTTTGATATAGCACTCTTCACAGGATAAAAACCACAAAGTGGCTTCACAATAATATAAAGCAGATAAACATAAAACAGCACAATCGAACATACAGAATAAATGCAATCAAGGAAACGTAATGATGGAGGCAGAGCATTCCATGACCTGGGAGCCACCGCTTTGGAAGATCTATTGCCTCTGGTCTTCTGGTGGGACTACTAACAGCCATTGATTAGATGATCACAGGCTGGGAGAGGGAGCGTGGGGTTCTATAAGATCAGAAATTAAGGCAGGAGCTTCACGATTCGGAGCATTGAAAGTCATTACTAAAATTTTAAAATGAATTTTCTAAAATATACTGGAAGCCAGTGTAATGAGCGTAAAACTGTTATAATGTGCTTTCTCTTTTGTGTCTTCCGAAGAAGCCTACTTGTAGTACAATAAGAGATTTCTGAATTTCTACTGTCAATACTAAAATGGCTTCATATTGACACCTTTAACTAAAAATTTATCTAAATGTTTGAGTGATATTTCCATCTTTAAGTTTCTGTAATAACATCTGTAAACACTGACTGCTTCTTATACAGGTTCTAGAACAGCTTTGTCATTATTCATTTATTTTTAACATTCAAAGTGAACATCTTTTCAATATTATCTTTCATTCGCAGGATATGGCAATGTGCTGCACATTGTTGACCCAGACCTTTTAGACTATGCCAAGCAATTAATCTGTGAGAGGGAAGAGCCTTCACTGGTAGCAAACCAGGAATTCAGAGACATGTGCCAGAACATTTTAGAAAACAGCCAGTTTCCCTGCACACCTGATGGTTGCCTTGCTGCATACCTCATGCTAGTCCAAGAGCTCACAACTGCCATGAACAGAAATGCAGTTCCTACACTTTCTACGTTTGCCGAGGCAAATGACATATACATCTTTCTGAAGAGAGAGAGGATGGAAGGTGCACCAGTAAACATTTCCAATGACCAATAAAATCATACAACAGTGTTTGTTAACATTTATTTACCCTTGTTTAAAATCAACAGGTAATTTGAAAACTGTCTGACCAACAAAATGTACAATAAAATGTTGAAATACAATTGACAAGGTGCCATCTTTCATAATGATTCAGTGTTTCATTTACCACAACTTTTGTTAACAATAATGTAGAACATAATTCACATTGAAAGACTTTTGAACTGCAGACTGTAGCAACATTACCACTTGTAGCCATATCGGCTCGTAAGATCAAGGCCTGACTTGAGAAACTTAACAACATCAGATGCGGAAGGCCTTGAGTCTGGGTCATAGCTCACCAAACCACCAAGAAAACTGTTTTTGTCACTGAGATGTGATAGGGCATGTGGTGGGGTTTTGGTGGCCATTAGTGCAGCCAGTTCTCTTTGTTTTTTAACCATCCACGGAGCGGAACCCGTCAGGATCTCCAGATATGTGGCTCCGAGGGACCACATGTCTGTCTGGAACGAGGCCTCTTCAAACATCAGTATGCATTCAGGGGCCATGTAAAGATATGTGCCACCAGCTGGACCAGTAGCCTGGGCAGTGAACTTACTCCCTTGACGAAGCATCACAGTGTCTCTTATGTTTGCCATGCCCCAGTCTGTCAGGACTGCCTTCTTAGAAGGGTGGTGAACCTATAAGGTATACATATGAGAACTTACCAGGTTGTCTAAAATTTCACAAATGTTATCAAAAATGTCATTCCAAAGACCACAGCTCATAATTGGGGAAAAAAAAAAAAACCCTCAAAGCTTTTAGCACCCAGATCACCCAATCACTGCAGATTTATTCTGAGATTGTTTATTATACCCAACATTAAAATTAACAGATTGGTTAACGATCCAACCCGGTTTTATAGTCCTGTGCATTTTTTAATCCCCATTCCACTTAAGCAAGTGGTACAGACTAATAAAATAATAGAAACTTTCAGTTTGTAAAGCCTAAACTTACAACATGTTTGGGAATTTTGTAGGTGTGCAAGAACCAACATATTAAAGAAAAATTGGACTATTAAAGAAACAATGTAAGGCTTCTTACTTAAAAATCCTTTATATGAATATGCCAGAAAAGTTTCTCATTGTTCAAATGTAGTGTTTAATAGACTGAAGAGAATAAAGTTAAATAAATAATATACTATTTTTATTTTGATCTTCAAAAACAAAGTGGAGAAAAAGAAAAATACAATATGGCTTACCATGACATTTGCTGGCTTTATATCCTGGTGAATGATTCTCTGTGCATCGATGTACTCTACTGCCATGGATAAGTCCAGTGATATGAAACCGGCATCATCCCCTTCAAGCTATCAAGACAATATATAATATTAATAAAACAATGCGTAGCCAGGTGTGACAATCTAACATGTCAGTCTTTTTATATGTTGTACACAAAGATGGTTTCAAGTACATATTTAAACAAATGACAGCAATAAAAAGTTCTTTTTTAATATGAGGGTATTAAGATAATTCACATCTACCTAAATGTATTAAACATAAAGTTATGAGTATTGGTACCTTCACCAAGCAGCTGTCTGTGTGAAGCACTTGCTGCAGGGTTGCGCCATGAATGTATTCAGCTGCCAACAAAAAGCAGGACTCAGTGCGGGCAACTGCCATGAGTCTGACGATGTTGGGGTTAGACAGTCTCCTAATAAAACAGAAACATGTCCGAATAAAAAAAAACAAAATAGAGGCATATTATGTTACAGCTTGAGGAAGAATCGATTTTGACAATGAAAAAAAAAAAAGTGTGTCAAAGTTCTTACAGTGAAACATTTATCTCATGATGAATGTCGCTGTCCTCCATCCCTTGTTGGCCACACATGATCCTTTTAACAGCTGCTGGAGTACCATGAAAAGAACCTCTATTTTCTTTGCAGTTAAAAAAATTAACTTGCAAACATTACCAAAAAATTTAATAAAGTGTTGGATTACCATTTTCAAGGTCTTTTTTAAGCTGCTCGTAAGCTTTCAGCTTGTCCATTTGCTGAAATGTATACAAAACAATTACTGAACAGTTTAAATTTGAATCACGTTTCACCACTGTCGCTAGCTAGAATGAATTAGCCAGACAAAAATAGTACTGATTTGGTTTCGTACAAAACTGGCTTTCCGTCTCTGATATGTAACTTTCACAACATAACTGCAACTTAATATAACACAACTGTGGCAAAAATATGAACAAAAGGGAGAAAAAGTTAAACTTACCTTGTGTCGTTAGGAGCCTGAACCACGGTAAAACTCCGGTGAGGTCAATGACCTTACGCTCTCCCACGGTCACACGTTGATGACATATTTGGAAATCAATTCGGGTGGGACATGACAACAGCGCCACCTGCAGGAAGATTTTCTCTCTGGTACCTTGTGTTCTGATACCTGACAATTTTTTTTTTGACAACTGACACCTGACAATTTTTTTTCTGACACCTGACAACTTTTTTGTCTGACACCTGACAATTTTTTTTCTGACACCTGACAACTTTTTTGTCTGACACCTGACAATTTTTTGTCTGATACCTGACATTTTTTTTTCTGACACCTGACAATTTTTTTTCTGACACCTGACAATTTTTTTTCTGATACCTGACAATTTTTTTTTGACAACTGACACCTGACAATTTTTTTTCTGATACCTGACAATTTTTTTTTTGACAACTGACAATTTTTTTTTGACAACTGACACCTGACAATTTTTTTTCTGACACCTGACAACTTTTTTGTCTGACACCTGACAATTTTTTTTCTGACACCTGACAACTTTTTTGTCTGACACCTGACAATTTTTTTGTCTGACACCTGACAATTTTTTTTTTGACAACTGACACCTGACAATTTTTTGTCTGATACCTGACGATGTCCTAAAATGTACACCGTACATTTGTCATTGAGTCATAATGTTTGTCAAAGAAATACTTCTGTCCTTACCAACACAATAAACTGACAGGATAAGAAAAACAGCCATCAAACGGTTCATTGTAGGAGCCATTTGTCTCTGCCCAGTCCACATTCGTGTGATTCAATCATGTAGTCCTTGTTTTTTATCCTGTGACACATATTCAAAGATGGAAGATATAATTTTGCATGTGTTCCTCCTCAAAGAGAACCACACTCCACACTCCAATTTGGATCTGGCTATATGCAGAGAGGAGTGAGTTTGGATGGGTTCCAATAGAACAACATGAGGTGAACCCCATACCATTAAAAGATGTTCTATTTTTAGGTACAAAAAAATGTCTATCCAAGCTCACAAACAATTTGATAATATTAAACACCTTCTGTGCCTGGCAGGAATCCCACTCACTTCTGAAAATAAATATCTCTTTTCTTAGAAGGACACCCTTATGGGGCAACCCTGATCTCTCTCATCATATTGCTGACCCAATATTGCGGGGATGGAAGGACAGAAATATTCGAACTGTTGCCGACTTATACAATAATGATACATTTATTGACTTTCAACAACTAAAGGAAAAATTCAAACTCCCAGGACAAAGTTTCTTCAAATTCCTACAAATAAGAGATTGGGTCAAAGAGAGATCCAAAGGATTATTCCCCGAGATACCTAAAGAAACTCCTCTTGAAACGCACCTTTGCACCAAACCATGGAAGTCAATAAAAGGAATAGCATCTTCTATATATACTATTATCAATGAAAAATTACCTGACCATAATAAAGCGTCTTTAAAAAGAAAATGGGAGACAGACCTGGGCTATGTCTATGAAGAGGTAGAATGGCACCATTTATTGGAACAGGCACAGACCATGTTAATTTCTACAAATCACAGGCAAATGCAATTTAATATATTTCACAGGATATATTACACTCGTTATAGGTTACATAAAGGGGTTTACATGATGTGTTTTCTGTTTTGCTTTTTTTTTTTTTTTTTTTTTTTTTTTTTTCTTTGTTCTTTGTTTGCTTGTGTGTTTGTTTTAAGTTTCTGTAATTATCAATATTGTCATTATTATTATTATTATTATTATTATTATTATTATTATTATTATTATTATTATCATCATTATTATTATTATTATTATTATTATTATTATTATTATTATTATTATTATTATTATCATTATTATTATTATTATGCCTGTATTTTCTGTGTTTGGTTTTCAGATGTTTGAGGTTATCCTTGAAAGGCATAGATACAAGAGTGTGCACCTGGGAGTGCCTCTGTGGTCACAATGGCCTGCCATGCTGTGGTTATTTGATGATACTTGCTCTGTCCCATAGTTGTGAGTTTTCTGTTTGTTTGTTTGTTTTTTTGTTTGGTTGGGTTTTTTTTTTTTTTTTTTTTTTTTTTTTTTGCTTTGTGTGTCTGTTTGTTTGTGTTCGTTTTCTAATTTAAAAATGAAAATAAAGCTTAGAAAAAAAAAGAAACAAAAATCAGGTAAAAAAAAAAAAAAAAATCTGGTAATTCTTTATTTTTAAGTTCATCGGGTCCCAATCAGCCCAAATAGCAAAGAGAAATTAAAAATGCATGCCATGAAAGAGTCTTAGGAGGTTAAAAAAATGATGAAAAACAAAAACTCAAATTGACATTTGGTAGTTTATAACACTTTTTGTTCAAAAACAGTATAACAAAAAAGCTTTAGTCACTTGTTTAATTAAACTTCCAGTGTCTTTTTCTTCACACTTTTTTGTTTACACACAGAAAAATCTGAAAAAAAAGAGAAATTCACTCTTCTGTGCTTTCCCTAAATTTTATAAAAATTTGACTTCAAATAAAGTTTAAATATATATATATATATATATATATATATATATATATATATATATATATATATATATATATAAATACTGCAATACAGTAGTGGACAGTATTTTATTTTATTTTTAACTGACAAGTTGTCAGAACTGTCAAAACTCTTTGCACATTCATGAAGATACATAGTTCGATTTTTGCCATAGCTGCTCATAAATAAACACAGAATAGCATTGTATGTGAATGTGTATTACCACTTTGAATTGCAGTACA